CTATTTTTGAAACAATTTAACATTTGAAAATGTATCTTTTGTTGATATTTCACCTAATTTTGTAATGAGTTTACATTAACTAATATTTTAAATTATGATCTTTGACATGTATAATTTCCTTTAAAATATTTTTCTACATGATTTACCGTATCCGAGTACTCCCCGAGTAATCCGAGTACTCGCTACTCCCCCCTCGGCCGAGCAGGTACCGAGTAGCGAGTTCTCCAACCTTGCCACTATGGCACACGGTGCTCCATCATGTGTGTTGCTGATGCTTATGAGTTGTATGACATGGAAGAATGTTCCAGAAGATGTTGCATGGCAGAATATGATTGGTTGTCACCATTCATGGGCCCATACGCCGATGGTATAATACTTCTGATCCGCGTTGTAACAAAACTCCACGGCGTGGGAACAACTCTTCCACACCATAGAAATCGATGAAGTCAGAACTGCCACTCTTAAAACTTGTGGATCATGGGGTGTATAATTCCTTCTTCTAATCTTCATAATGCTACATAAGAATTCTAATAATAATCCCTCACGAACTCAACGCGCATCCCACACTTATTAAAAGTCGTGGCTCTTGATTATCAACTTCAAACTCTCTTGGCTTTTTCTCTTTTTAGAAAATTGCTCTCGATCCTAATTGTTTGAATTACTGAAAGCATTCGAAGGGCAGATATTTTGCAAATATCTAAACCATAAGAGCATCAACATGGAAAACAAAATTAAACAAACTAAAAATAAAAATAAAAAATAAAATCATACCAAAATAAATAAAAAGGATATCACGATCAATCGTCTTCTTCGCAATCATGCTACAATTGTTGATTAATTCCCTTGCATGCAAGAAGTGGCTTGTGAAAACAAAAACTTTCGGGACCCTTTAGACTATTTCCTTTGCTTTCTTTGCACCATTAACCAATAAGCAGAACAAGAGTTGACCCAACTAGTCAAAAGTAGCAAGAGTTCGTTCTTCCACTTAACCACCAAAATACATCTTGCTAGACTTTGTTGGCTAATTCTCATTCCATTTTAAATCTACAGTCTATGAATATTACATTGTAAAAGACTGTGCACAATTCATAACTTCTTCATACGAACTTCGTTATCGATTGTCTCTATATTGTTTGATTCGTATTTACGAGATCTTCAACTCTCGTTTACATTGTTTTAGGTAACTATAAACCGATTTTAATTTCGATTTCTATGTCACACACTGTTGTACTATGTCGCACTAAAATTTTGAAAAAATCATAACTTCTTCATACGAAGTTAGATTTAGGCGTTCTTTATATGCACACTTTCATATTTACGATTACTACAACTTTTATTTAGATCGCTTAGGCTAATAAGCAACCTATCTCTGATTCATCTTTTACGACACACTTTGTCGTATAAGGCTAAACGCGAAACTTCGAAGAATCATAACTTCTTATGAATTATATCATAAAACATAGTTCTTAATTCAGTAAGTCATGCATCCCAGTTTAAAAAGCTCCATAAACTCACCTTGTTAGTTAGTGAAAACTAACTATCATTTTGGCTTTTATCTGGTGCCCTTTGTCCAATCTTCTTTCAAATCCTATTCAAACAACATACTCCTAATAACATGACTTATTCCATAAGGGGCATAACCCCAATTCAACTTATCACAAAAATTTCACATTCCAACGTGTTGTCTCAAAATCAATTAACCTCCACGGATATTACATATATAAGTCTTAACTCATTAAGATATAAACTTAATTTCCATTAACTAAAAAATCAATCACTTAGGGTTTCATAACCATATTTCTCAATCTAAGTATTTAACCATGGATTTAACATATAAAGCTTGAAATCATAATCACAATGCTTGTAACTACATTACACTAGATATTCATGGCATTTTTACCGATTTCTAATACAACTCCACCATTGAGGAATCACATGGAGTTAAGAAAGGGAAGGAATAGGATACATGGATTCACTTCCACTTGCTTGATTCTTGTTCCTCTTGCAAATCCTTGATGAATCTCCTGGCTCAAAGCTCCCAAATTCATTTCTAAGGACTCTCAATTGAGTTGGGGTTGAGAAATGAGGTAAAAAGGCCGATTTTAACCCTAATAAAGATTTGATCCTATCGTATTTTATGCGTCGTGTAACTCGTATGGACGCATCGGGTTCTTTTTTAAGTTGTGACACGTCATCCACAACACGCGTTGTGTCTCCTTTTCAATATAACATCACACTTTGAGCGTGTAGTGTAATACTTTAACTATGTGTTACGTAGCTCACAATAGGATACCCTTTCTTGTTATAGCAACATACTTCACCGTTCGACGTCAAACATCATCTATAGGTTGCATGACGCCGGATTACTCGTCATGTAGTATGTACTTCAACTTAGTACTTAGCCAAACTTCCATCTTTACCCTTGTAATTCACATTATACTATTAAAGGACTAAAACCATATTTAAATAATCAAATAACCATTTCTAAATATCATTTTATCATGTGAAAATGTATTAACCAACTTGATAGTTAAATTCATGACTTTTACCTTCTTTTTTTTGGACCAAAGTGCCCTTTTACATCACATTTCACATGCAATCTTATCATTCAAATTTGTAGGGATGTTACAAATACAATGATTTTTCATTATTAATATAATTTTGTATAATTCTATTGTCATATTCAAGACAATCATTATATTTCATAAGTTTTTATCATTTTTGTCGACATTAAATTCAAAAATTCATTTTTCTTTAATATTTTTGACCAATTTCATATTTTTTAAATATATTTGACATATTTCATTTTTTCTGTCACTTCACAAAGAGCTTCTATATGTCTATAAAATACAAGATGGTCATGAGTTTCTCATTGTTATTCTTCAACGCCCTTTATATATTTGAAAATATAATCGAACTTCTTGTGTGGAAATTCTTCGTTTTCTGATGATCATGAAATGAGTTAAGTTGTCTTCCAAATTATAATCAAACCCTTCATATGTATCATAGGATGTGCCAACCTATTCACACTTTTCAAACTCGTTGGATCGAATACTAGACATTTCTTATAAAAGTAAAAATAAAAAAGTCATTAAGTTGATGTTATACATAATTTGCATAAGATGTTAGGCGAGAGAGTAATAATAACATTTGTAAAAGAAAAAGAAAATTAGATGGGAGAATTTATAAATTTTAATATTAATAAATTGAAAATTATTTTTTATTTTCTCATATAAAAATATCCAAACAAAAAGAAAAGATAATAATTATTGGTAGTATTTCAACCCTTTCTTTTAGGCTTTATTTATTCCTATCCCAACTCCACTTATCTCTATCCTCTAATCATTTTTCCAATCATTGTATTTACTAATCATTTTACTTTTTTTTACTAATCATTACTACTTTTAATTATTTTAATAATTAAATTATGATTAATAGTTATTATTAACAGTTTTTTAATATATAATTAGTTAATATTTATAAACCTATTTATTAAAATATTATTTTTTTTATTTGGTTTAATTATAGATAACTTATTTATATTATTTCATTAAAAGATACATAAATATTTATAAATCTATTTACTAAAATATTTTTTATATTTTTAATTCTATAAAGTATGATATATATATATATATATATATATATATATATATATATATATATATATATATATATATCATTTTTTTTATTAGCAAATATAATTTTTTTACTTTATTAGGTCATCTTCTTTTTTTTTTGTTAAGATAACATTTTTTTTTAATTTATTGTACCTCACATATATATAATGAATTCAAAATTTTACATTTACTAATAAACATCATTAAACATATTAAACATATGGTATGTAAATGTTAGTTGGCAGCCACCAAATGGGAGTTAATTGTGCCACCTTAGCAACCAAAAAATTATATAGTACTAGTAAACATTATTAAAACATATGAGTTTGATATATTTTAAAAGAAAAATAAATTATATGTTTAAAAAAATCTATAAAAATATTGGTTGGTATATCTTAAATATAATTTGTTTTTTCTTTAGCGGGACAAACAAAATAATTTTTGGCTATAAGCAAACTATAACCCAATTCACTTATCAAACTTCGATGGCCAATATTGCTGGGACAATATTAAAGATTAAATAATAAAAAATATATATTTAACTCGCCGTCGTTGTAGTTATTTTGAAGACCAAGATTGGAATATTTGAAAAAAAAATCCAAGCGAAACACTAGGAAATAGGAATGTGTAGGAAACGACATTTATCTATTAAAAAATAACAATAGCTAAACTAAAAAAAATGATTTTTATGAAATTTATCCAATAATATTATATCAAACAAAAAACGAATAAATATATCTTTTATATTATATTTTTATATATATTTAAAAATAATTAATAAAACTATTTACCTAAACAATAATTATTACTTTTACTTAAAAATAGAAAAGAGGAGAGAGAAACACTTTTATACGGAAAATGATGTCAAATTCTAATTATTTTTACTTAAAAAGTAATGATCGAGACGGTATGATAATAAAAAAAAGGGTAGGAATATATATCCCTTTCTTTTATCTCGTTATTTACCTCAGATAAGATGTCGCTGTACAGTACATTTTCTGGGATGAATTGTAGTCAGAAAATGCCTTACATGAATTGTATATACCACTAGCGACAAAAAGCGAATGTAAGCTACAGAAGCCTTTGTCTGAAAAATCCAAAGAAATATAGAATGGATCCTAGGGCTTCCCAGTTGGTGAAGGAACTCCGTTATCCGATGAACCCTTCAATAAAACACCTAACCGATTTCACCATCAAAGGTAACCTCTGATTAATAATGTTCCAACTCTTCGTTTTCCTTTTATTTACTCTTCACTTTGATACGCCTACCTAACTGGGAAACAAGGATCCCATTTTGAATCTGAGAATCTAGGGTTTTCCACGTTCAATTTCATGAATCCACAATCGAGTTAAACCAGCTTGTTAGATCTTTGTGTACAAATGATCCTCCCGTTGGTTAGTGATTACAAAAAAACATGGGTCTTGACTCTTGAGTGTGTTTCTTAGTCTGTTGAAGCATTGATTATAGATTTGGGTTTTTAGGTTGTTGAAACGATGGTCGTTGGGAGCGGCGACGCTTCTGACTCTAGGTCAACAAATTCACCTGCGGAATCCGCAAGAACTGGTTCTTCTCATGAAGAGGATGAGGGGAGGCAATTAAGTTATTTTGGGGGAAGTAGTTCAAGAAATACCAGCCCAATTGGTCGGGGACTAGGGTTGAGGAACACTAGCCCATCTAGACAGAAGGTGATTAAGACAAAACCCAGAGGTCTAGATGAAGAAATGATTGCTACATTCCCAAAAGCTCCACACCCAGATGTTCATATGGAAGATAACATATGGGCTATGCTACCTGAAGACTTACTGAATGAAATACTAGCTAGGGTTCCACCTTTCATGATCTTCCGACTCCGTTCCGTTTGCAAACGTTGGAATTCAATCTTACAAGACAACAGTTTTCTCAAATTCCATTCCCAAGTTCCCTCCCATGGCCCTTGCCTCCTCACATTCTGGAAGAATTCACAAACACCTCAATGCTCTGTTTTCAGCTTACCATTGAAACAATGGTACAAAATCCCTTTCACATTTTTACCTCAATGGGCATTCTGGCTTGTTGGATCTTCAGGAGGACTTGTCTGTTTCTCAGGTCTCGATGGCTTAACTTTCAGAACATTAATCTGTAATCCCCTCACACAAAGCTGGAGAACACTACCAAGTATGCATTATAACCAACAACGACAGTTAATTATGGTGGTTGATAGAAAGAAACACTCTTTCAAAGTCATAGCTGCGAGTGATATCTATGGTGACAGATCACTTCCAACTGAAGTATACGATTCAAAGGCTGACAGTTGGTCGCTTCACCAAACCATGCCAGCTGTCAATCTTTGTTCATCAAAGATGGCATTTTGTGACTCGAGGTTATATTTGGAAACAATTTCACCTCTTGGGTTGATGATGTATCAGTTGGATGCGGGGTATTGGGAACATATTCCAGCAAGGTTTCCAAGATCTTTGTTGGATGGGTATTTGGTTGCGGGGACACAGAAGCGTTTGTTTTTGGTTGGAAGAATCGGTCTTTATAGTACTCTTCAGAGTATGAGAATTTGGGAATTGGATCATGCAAAAGTGATTTGGATTGAAATAAGCAGAATGCCACCAAGATATTTTAGAGCTCTGTTGAGGTTATCAGCAGAAAGATTTGAGTGTTTTGGACAGGATAATTTGATCTGTTTTACATCTTGGAATCAAGGGAAAGGTTTGCTGTTTGATGTTGATAAAAAGGCATGGTCTTGGATTGCTGGATGTGCTCTACAGTCATATAACAGTCAAGTCTGTTTCTATGAGCCGCGATTTGATGCTTCAATCTACTGACAATGTAACAGAAGGTCATTTTGGTCTACAGGTGCCAACAGAAGTGGTAGATCCTTCTGGGATGGTGGCTGCAACCTGCATGCGTAATTTTTGGTCTGCCTGAGAGGAATTTATTGGGATGGAATGTGATGGGGACACAAATTTTAGAGGAATTTTCATTTTTAAAACTGTTGTATACTTGTTAAATCTGGTCTTAATAGTTTATACATGGAAGTTTCCTTCTTCATGTTATTGTTCATCCTTTGGGACCTTTAGAAAATAGAAATCTTCATGTCAGGCTGTTTTGGGTACTTGCTCCATGTGGAGTGTTGGATGGATGTTTGAGATCAAATTTGTGAGCTCTTATCTATGTCTCAAAATTGGGTGGGGTGGGCAAAACCCGGGCCTTTGACAGTTTATAACATGTCTACCGGGCCAATCCTAAATATTTTAACAGGGCCTGTCAATACAATTCTTAACAGGTGTAACCGGGCCTATAACCTATTATCGGACCCTGTCATTTTTAACCATTTTTTAAATTACTTATTAATTGTTAAATTGTTAACAAATCTTTTTTACTCGTTCAAATAGATATATGTTTATTTAGTTATATAATACAAAAAAATTAAAAAAATCACGAAACATATTATTAGGGAAATTTTCAGAAGAGCCATTACATTTTTAACATTTTATCCGAAAAACCATTAATTAATTTTTTTTTTCAGAAAAAGCTATTCATATATACAGAAACCCATTCATTATTTATTTTTTCCAAGAACACAATTTTTTGACTGGATGAAATTGGTTCGTATTTTCTCATGTTTACATGGATAAAACTTATTAATGTGATACACATGTGATCAATATATGTACATATAAGCAAACATTAGAGTATTTAATTAGGTTTTCCTTTTTTTTCACTGATCGATCAACCTTCTTCCAATGACCAAATCTTTGTTTGTTTCGAGCACAAGCTTTTGTTAGGTCTGTTTGTCTTATAGACCTAAGGTCGTTACAACTTTTAACTTATAAGCTAATCAAAGAAAAATCATGACCAATATTACGGACGTGACCAACACTATTAAATCAAACCTAAGCAAACCATTACCGACTTCATTTTCACTAATTCTCTTTGACATAGGCTTTTACTCTTCAACTCCTAATAAATATCATTAAAAAGGTCTTTTTTGTAATATACATTTCCTAATGTAGGATCAATCCATTAGAAATTTTTGTAATCCTTTGTTGCATCATACACATAAACCATATAACTTACATAAGTTATAATATTGACTCTGAAATTCAAACAATTTCAATTGTTTACCATATTATTAAGGTACCAATAAAACTTTCTTAATGGTTTAATTTTATTGTCTAAGATGTCCATCTTCGTGATTCTACAAATACATAAGGGTGTAATTATACCGAGACAACTCATGAGATACTCAAGACCAACTAGAAATCAAAATCTACCTACTTCAAGACGAGTCGAGCTCGAGCTCGAACTACTCGAGTATTTGAATACTTATCCCATAAAGTTCACGAGCTTAATTGAGCTTGACTATATTGACATGTTTACCTTTTATTTTTATTCATATTTATATAATCAAGTAGTAGCTTGAGCTTTATTGAGCTTAATATATTTACATGTAATTAGTAGTGTTGGTGTATGTAATGTTGGTCATGATTGTTTTGTTTTGCATCAAGTATTGTACAACCTAAGATATGAAAAAAAAAACATAAGATCCCAAATCTTGTGTTTGAAACCATGATAAGAATGAGATCGATCGATTACAGCCTGTTCTCAAGATTAATTTCTAACGAGGGGGGAGGGAAGGGAAGGGATGGGATGGGAGGGGAAAGAAAGGGAAGGGGATGGAAGGAGAATGAGGAGAGGATAAAGGCGTTCTCGAGTTTAAGGGGAGGAGAGAAGACAAATGATGGAAATGACGTTTTTGCCCCTGGTTAGGGTTCTTCAACTTCATTAGAGGGAGAAGATAAAGGTAAGGACATGGAGAACTGAAGGTGTTGTGTGTGTGTGTGTGTGTGTCTGAGAGAGAGAGAGAGAGAGAGAGAGAGAGAGAGAGAGAGAGAGAGAGAGAGAGAGAAGAAATGGTGTGAATTTGAAGGAGAAATCTGAAATAACAAAGACTAAAATATGTCATTTTAAACTTTCCCTTTCAATCCGCCCAAAATTCTTCATTTTTCTTCCCCTCCTAATCTCTCCTTATCATTTCCTCTCCTTCAAAAAAAAAAAAAAAAAACATGTCTTCCCCTCCTAATCCCCTCCCTCCCATTCTTAAAAAAAACTAGAGAATGGTGTTAGTGAAAAAATAGACCTAATTAATACACAATTTTGCTTATGTGGACATATATTTGTTACATAGATGTCACCTCAATAAGGTTAATGTTAACCGTTTTCATTCTGTCAAAATTTTGTTTTATTGATTTTTTTTTCAATATTATTGTTCTCTTAAAACCTTTATAAATATAAATTAATTTTCATAAAAAATAGTTGTTTTTTCAGATAAAATTTTAAAAGTATAATAACTTTACTTTTGTTTCCTTTAGAAATACAAAAACTTTAGAGAACTCTAAAAATATTGTTTTCTCAAAATACAAATTTTCTAGTCTATGTTAGAGCATCGACAAGAGTTAAAGCATTATCATAGCTTATTATTTTTGTTACATAAGATTTCCGCTAACTCCATTTTTAAAATAGACCCTTCTTTGAATATTATCTCTAATGCAAGAGCTTCACTTTAACAACTACATATTTATTAGGGGTGTTCGTTTGGATGGATCGGTTTGATCCGATCCAATCAAGTAAAATCCAAAAATGATTTCGGTTTTCAAAAGATGGATCCGAATTGTCCAAACTAAATTCAAATCCGATCCGATCCGATCCAATTACAATTCGGTTGGATCGGTTTTTATAATTCGGTTTTCAAAAACCGAAACATTTTAAAACGAAATATAATTATAATATTACCCAACTTTACACAAGAAGCAAAAACAAATAATTTAGTTGTGATTTGAAATTTATAAACAACTACTAAGAAGATATATTATAGTTAAATATTTTATAGATACAAAACTTTCGAGAGAAAATGCATATTAATGTTTTTTTTATCGGGTGAAACGTTTTTAACCTATTTGAAAAAATAAATTACAAAATTAATAAATAATTATAGATATATATTATATATAGATAAATAATAAATGTTTATTCGGTTTTTTTGGACTATTCGGTTCTTATTTTATAAACCAAAACCAATCCGAAATCCAAAATAATAATTCGGTTTTGTTGAAAACCAATCCAAAAATCCGAATATCCGAACAAAATAGTCCAATCAAAATTGTCAAATTGGATAATTCGGTTTTATCCGAATAGTGAACAGCCCTATTTATTACTATCTATTTGAAATATTTTTACTAAGACTCATCATCTAATTTATTTATTTTAAACCCACCATATTTCATTTGATATTGATCAACTATGTAGTTTTTATAAATAAAATACGATAAAATAAACGTTTAGTTTTATTTTGTATATTTAACAAAATTAAGAGGTTGAGGGAAGATTAGTGGTTGATATCAACCTCAAAAAGATTAAAAGTCGCCATCATGTTCGCTTTCCTCTAACTTGGATACAATTACAGAGGGTATTGATAAACCTTCGGCTTTCTCTAAATAAAAATTCCTGGCAACATAATTTTTATCTTGGTATCAGAGCTTTGAATCAAAACGTTCTTAGCTCTATGGAAGGCTAAACTCCTAAGGTATATTCAGGAAAAACAGTAAAGGTATTATTTTATCAATTCCTTGTATTTCTACGGTAACATTTCTGTTAAAAACTTCATAAAAACCCTTGTTTTTAGATAAAAGACAGCGCAATTGCTTCTATTAAAAAAAAAATACCGAAAGAGTCGGTAAGTGTTTGAAGTTAACCGTTTGGTGAGTCTTAAAACAAGTTTGTAAATATAAACTTTTGAAGTTTTTATGTTATGTCCGATCGCTTTGAGCAAGAGATACAAAATTGGTACGATAATTCACGAACTGTAGATCCTGAGTATATCATTTTTAAAGAAAATAGTTCTAAACCTACAACTACCGATTTAGCCAATAATTTAGCTTGTATTTATAATCGTTTAAATCTCTTTTCTAAAGTAGCACTTAAGAATTTTAAAAGTATTTCTGAAAAACAAAAAGATCTTGAGTCAAAAGTCCAAAGTTGTCAAGAGAAGCTTGAATCCTGTGAGGAGTTATTAAGAAAAACTCAGAGTGAAACCAGAAAAAGCCTTCAACAAATCTCAACTGAGATCCATCAATCTAAACCACTCACAAAAAGAGAAGTCCTGAGCCTTGTTCAAGAAATAGCTGAGCAACCAAAATTAGTTGAGAAAGAAGCCCTCAGACTAACAGAAGAACTCAATTATAAAACCCAGAAGGTTGAAAATCTTCTTCACGAAGTCAAGAGGCTCATCACCGGATGAGTATTGCCAATCAAAAGGCAACTACTGAGTATCAGGAAGCCATACAAGCCACTGAAGACTTTGAATCACCAGCAGTTGGTTTTGCAAAAGCAACCGACTACAAAGAAGCTTTAGTTAGCCAAGTAAAGGCTGTTATAAAACAAAACAACACCTTGCTTTACTTAGCAACTAAGCAAAGTCAGAAACTGATTGAGATTGAAGAAAAGTTTGACAAGCTCAAACAAGAAGTTCAAACTGTTATCAAACAAAATACTCAGCCAACAGATCTTGAAGACTCAATATCAAGCTTAACCAGAAGACTTGATAATTTCTCTATTAGTGGGAAACTTCCAGTAAAGAAAAGTAACGGGCAAATCTACGTCTTTGAAGATCCTAACAAAATCTTTAAAGAACAGTTTGGGAAAGAATCAAAGAAATGACTTTCAGAAGGCCTAGCATCCTCAACAGGAGTTCCACACAAACTCAAACAGAACTCCCAACTCAAGAAGATCAAATTCGTGGTTATCGACAAATTACCCGAAACAA